AAGAAAGTTAACTTTTACGCAATGAGGTACTATCATAAAACCGAATTAAAACTGGGGCAATATAATATTTTGACTCTACTCAGGATTCTGAATTCAATACACATTATTACAAAAAATTCGTTGCAATATTATTGTTATAATATTATTCTTTTATTTAAATGTACAAAATCAACAAAATTACAGATTCAGATAATATTTTCTATCTGTCAACACCAACACTTTTTTCCCCAGCCCACTCTTCTCTTTTAATTAAAACTAAGTTGCGTTACAAATTCCCCCTCTAAACAACACAGACGGCCCTCTGGTGTTGTTTAGGATGAAACATTCTTTTTAGGACGACCCCTCTTCCGTTTTGGTATTAAGGGCGTTAATATATCACTTCTAGTCCCTTCAACAAACGGGCTGAGGTCCGCGGCGTGATAGCGTCCAATTCTTTCTGGAGGATTTGTACAGCTTCCTAACTCGTAGGTTGTAGGAGAAGCAATTCGCAAGATCATATATGGACATCCCTTTTTGGGGCAAGCTTTGAAGAGAATCCACTTTTGGAGCTACTGAGAGTATGAGATTTCAGGAGAACCTTGTCACCCTTCTTGAATACAGCTGGTTGTTGTCTGGAATCTAAGCGGGTTTTCTGGACATCTTGTTTCTTGCAATTTCTATCCATTGCTTCAGACAGAGTAGTAGCTAGGTTCTTTAAGTAAGGAGTTATTCTTGGTATGAAATTTTCTGGCATCAATCACTTTGCGTAGATCATAAGGAGCTCGTATCTCCCTACCAAATGTGAGAAACGAAGAACTATATCCCGTAGAGTCGCAACATGTAGAGTTTATGGCGAATCGAATGCTGCTCAGGTGATGATCCCATTCTGAGTGGTGATCTTGAACCAAAATGGCTAACTGAGTCTTCAATTCGCGGTTCTTCCGTTCAACAGGGTTACTCTCTGCATGATACAAAGGAATGAACGGAGTTGTGATACCAAAACAATAAGTAATTTGCTGCATTACATCACTGATAAATTGTACGCCGTTATCAGAAATCATTTTCCTCGGAGTTCCAAACCGCAGGAAAATTTCTTCGATGAGAATTTTTGCACAAGATTCAGAGTCAGCTTTTACTAATGGGAAAAGTTCTACCCATTTTGAAGCAACATCCTCAATTATTAGGATCCATCGATTCCCCCTGGGAGTTGCCGGTAGAGGGCCAAATAGATCTACAGCCACAGCTTCGAATCTCTGGGAAGGGGCTGGGGTTTGAAGTAGGCCCGCAGGTTGACGATTCTCTGGTTCGTTCAGTGGGTACGGTGGTACGGAGATTGGTACAGCATTTTGTGTGTTAATTCGACGCGTAGCAAACGTAGTTTCTCCCCCTTGTTCGAAGATGGTGCTATTCTTCTGAAGTAGGGTGTTTATTTCATCTTTTGCCGTGTCTTCTCCTGGAGATTTATATGGGAAAAAGCTGTCAACTGCTCATGTCCAGAGTTATAAACCACTTAAATAAGATCAAAGAACTACTAAATTAAGACTACTTACCTAAAATAATCCTAGGGCTGCGAAACATGGACAATGAATAAGAACACAGAAGAGATGTTACGAAGATAAGAGTGGAAAATGATTAGGAGAATAGTGGGATGGAAAAAAACCGAAAAGGAACATAAAGAAATAAAGAAATTTATAAGACGTATCAAGAACTCAAAATTATTGGCTGAATCAAGGAGATTGCAGTGACTTGATATGATTGATAACAATCTGGCAATTTGAAAATTACAACTTTGTTAAGGCCAGTCCCCACGTTTTCTCAGCGGAATTTTCGCTCTATTTTCAAAATGTAATATCTCCGTTATTAACAGATCTATAGTTTTCAAATTTTAAATATATGTTGTCCATAACTTTCTTTATATAACGCAAGGGCAATTTTGTTAAAAACAGCTTGTGATCATATTATTTTTTTAATTTTAGTGAAATTTTTGCATAACGTATTTTTAAAAATCAATATCTCAATTATTAAATAAAATTTCAGAACACGGTTTCCAACACTGTTTTCAGCTTACAAAACTCCAGAAATCATACGAGACATATCGTCGATTTTATTTTTTAGAAACGATACACAGTTAAAAAAAGCGTATATCATGGAAGTTGCTAACTTTTATTTTTACTATATCTCAGTCCCAACAAATAAAGTCAAAAATCGACCTCGTAGAATTTCTCAAGTTTTGCAAGCTGAAAACAGTGGTGACAACCCCGTTCCAAAATTTCCATAAATAACTGAAATATTGATTTTTAAAACTACGTTATGCAAAAATTTCACTAAAATTAAAAAAATAATATGATCACAAGCTGTTTTTAACAAAATTGCCCTTGCGTTATATAAAGAAAGTTATGGACAACATATATTTAAAATTTGAAAACTATAGATCTGTTAATAACGGAGATATTACATTTTGAAAATAGAGCGAAAATTCCGCTGAGAAAACGTGGGGACTGGCCTTAAATGTATCGACATTTTTGTAGTTAAAGGTTTTATTAACCTTTTCGCTGCGGACCTATTATTTCCTTTGCAACACTCCTGTGCGGGGTTTATTTTGGCTAAAACGTATTAGTACGTACGAACCACTGGTACAGTTTCTCGCACGTACTTCTACGTATACAGTAGCTGAGAATGTCAAACTCCGCACTTTTATATACGTGCACAGCACTATACACAATATTTTCTAAGCGAGAATCCATGCAAACAGGGTAAGAATTGTTCAATCATTCACTGTAAATTTTTTTTTTATTTTGATGGTCATAAGAAGGTGGCATTTTTATCAAAATAGAACTTTATTGAAATTTAGTTCTTACAATAAAAAAAATAAACAAAAAAAAAAACTCTATCAGTCTGCAAAAAATAAAAATAACATTTAATTTAGAAACATTCAAAAATTCAAAAATTCTTTTTGGTGTGATACACTTCAAAACATGGAATTAGGCATAATGCTTTGGCCACAGTCTTCGGAAATTTTACCTGGTTCTTCAAATTCTTCATCAGAAACATCAAGTTCATCCTCTGATTCGATTGTGGAATATAATTCTTTTAGGCAAGCTACTTCTTCGTTTGACAGTCCGACATAGTCTGACATTTTGCTAACTTACAACTGAATAAAACAATATAACTGCATCGTGTTTGGGCTCAAAATAAAGCTAAAATAATGCTTTTTTACGTCATGCGCATTCTAGTGTCGTACGTACAAGTACGGAAGCAGAGTGAGTTTGTGAATCCAGGAACGTATATGTATATATACGCGAAACGCACACAGTTTAGTTTGAGTATATGTTAGTAGTCAAAATGGAGCATTTACGTTTACTGAAGTATTGTGAAATACTTACAGCAGGTTTGTTGGTTTCACTAAGTGTTTGAAAAGTACTACATTTGTTAGTGCTCAGAATCATAATTTTCCTGTTTTAAACAAGATGCAAGATATTTTTTCAACATAAACAATAAGCAAGAAATAAAAAATGTTGTTTGACTCGTTATTTTCTATGTACAGGTGAGGTATAACTTGCTTACTAATTAGTAGGTCGAATAGAACTATCAATTTCAAGTGCAAAGCTAAGGATGTTTCCTTGTGAATGGCGCGTTAGTTATATTGTAAGATTCCATTGCCATTTCAGGGTTTCTCAATACATCAAGATTAATAATTATTATAATTAAGTTTTCGCGACCTCAGTGGAAAAGTAATTTCTCAATAACTGTTACACTGTAATTTTTTTCCGACTACCTTAGACTTTTATTAAGTTTAATGTATCACCTCAACACGGATTTATATATAAGGTGTGAAGTTTTTCTGTTAGTGCTTGTAGAAATTTAGCCAGTGTCCCATCTGGATTTATCCAAATCATCAGTTCAGCAGATAGGCTTTTTCGCTTAATAGTCGAACATTTGTAAAAGTATTTTTTATTATCTTTTTCCACATACTTTCATAACAGATTTTTCAGAAGTTTCGCCAAATTCTTTGATACTAATTTGATGAAATATTTTTTCAAGTTGTTTTAAATTCAGTTACAAATTTGTGTGGATTCACATTTTAGGCTTGGGTTTTGCGCGTACTTTGACTTTCAATCGTTTGATTTTAATGTTAACGTTATTAGATTTACAAAATCGCAACTTTATCTCAGACAAACAATGCATTTTAGACAAGACTGTAGTATCACTCACTTGTTTTGGATGAGTGCATTTGTTATGTAAAGGTGAAGGACTTATTCTCTCAGTTGTTTTTTTTATTCGTATTTAAGTAATGATCAACAGCCGAGGCCAGTTTTTTTTTGTTGGTGTTATTATACAGGTGTTTCGGAAAGTGTGGACCGAGGCTTGGACATTACTTCTTTGGTTAACACCCAAGAAAAAAGTTCAGAGAGACTGCTTTATCCTGGAATTTGTCGATCTGGTTGTTTGCATCTTTTTTCTTCGTTCCATGGACTAACATATTCTTAATCAAACAGTCACTGAATTGGAAATATAATTATGACGTTTGACTAGTTTCACCAGTTGTATTATTTTTCTTTTGTTCTTTTTTATATTTTACATTTACATGCTTCATTCCGCATAAACAGTGGTATAGTACCATAAACACGCGTTTAATGAAAGTATTTATAAATTGCACAGCATAAGAATTGCGAAAACCGTATTAGTTATAAAACAGTAATAAGTAGCAATTATAAAAACATCCATTGCGACAGAACTGTTGTTGTCAGTAATTTTTTCTCGGTAAGTTACGAACACATTGCGTCAAACTTGAGACAACATAAAAACATAAAAATTTCCAAACTATAGACATAAATAAGGTATCGTCTGGCATAGCAAACAATGCAATTATTAGATCAAAAAACACTAATTGCATTAGTTACCTTGGATCCTTGATCGCTGACGATGGAAACATATTTCTTTGAACTTATAATATAGTATGCTTATAGTCCACATTTTATTACCTCGAGCGCGTCATTCGCTTCACATTCTTTTATTTTCAGAACGCACTTACGTCGGTAGAATTCCCCACAATGGCAACTGAAGACATCGATCAAAATCGTGACAGGGTCGCGGAAATTTTTCAAAATAGGACGCTTCTAGTCACCGGTGGGACAGGTTTTGTGGGGAAAGTCCTCATCGAGAAGACCCTGCGGGTCCACGATGTTAAAAAAATATATGTTCTGGTTAGAATGAAAAAAGGGAAGAGCGTTGTGGAACGATTCCAGCAAGTCTTCAATGATCCGGTGAGTACCAGATGGGTCAATAATTTCGATACCCAACTTCAAGTTTTTTAGCTTTTCGATCTGGTGAAGAAGACCAAGGGCAAAGATATCTTAAACAAAGTGTGTTTTATTCGTGGAGATGTGGGTGAGGCGGATTTGGGTTTGTCGGATGAAGATCGCCAAATTCTGATTGAAGAAACGGAATTCATTTTTCACTGTGCTGCCACTATTAGGTTTGATGAACCATTGAAAACGGCGGTTTTGCTTAACGTCAGAGGGACCAAGCTCATGGTGCAGTTGGCCAAAGAATGCAAGAAGCTACAGGTGAAAATGGGGATTTATTTTTTCGGTGTTTTACTTTACTGTTTGTAATGACAGGTGTTTTCACATCTCTCTACATCGTATTGCCATTTAAATGAACGAGTGTTGTATGAGAAAGCTTATCCTCCACCGACTGATCCTGATAATCTTATTAGAACATGTGAACTTATGAGTGATGAGATGATTGAGGCTCTAGTCCCAAAGTCAGTATAATTCTATGGGTTTTATAATAGATAACTGTTATGGTTTTAGGCTTTTGAAAAATATGCCCAATACATATGCATTTACCAAATCCTTAGGTGAAGCAATAGTCACCGAACAAATGGAAAACATACCTGCTATTATTCTGAGACCATCTATAGGTAAAATTTATATTTTCAGTTTTACTAAGATTGTAGACTTCACTTTAACCAAAAGTATTGTCCTTACAAAGGATAATTCTTATTAAATGCTTTTTCAGTTTTTGTTTTTTGTTTCCAGTCATGCCAATTTGGAGAGAACCCATTCCTGGCTGGACTGACAATTTTAACGGCCCAATGGGTCTGTTGATTGCTGGTGGTAAAGGTGTACTTAGAACCATGTACTGTAGGGCAGATGTCTACGCTGATTACGTACCAGTAGATATTGTAGCCAATGCGATGCTAGCAAGCATTCTCGATTACGTCCTATACAAGTAAGTCGACTTTATTAACCGCTTCTTACGCACTTTCACTTGTCTGGCACTCTTAGACAAGAAATGGGCACGATTAACCCATCTCATTATATAATTTGTCAAAACTATGCGTTCGTGTTAAAAATCTAGCTGACTTTCTCTTCTACATGGAATTTGTTAACCAGTGCACTCTAGCGTTAAAACAAAAAGTTGGGTGAGGTAACGAAATTACTGGGTTAACCCACACGTAGTAGGTTAAACCTCCAAAATTTCGAAATTATAAATGTCCACTATTCCTATTATTACTATTAAATTTCATTTTCAGAAGATGATGAATGAACGGCGCTATCAGTAATATGTAGTAATATTTGCGTAATTGTACTTTCTATTTACACGTGAGTTCAAGGTATTACTGAATGCTTTGTACTTTGTATGCAACTGCACTTTTATTGCACAACTACGACCAAGTGATCTTGAAGAATTTTAAATTATGCAAAAGAAACAACTGTACTGTATATTAAAATTACAAACATAAAGAATAGAATTGCTTATATGAATCTAATTTTTTATTTATTACTGACAAACACGAGAGCTAAAGATGTGATTGTAACCTTGGTCTAAACATATTCCGGACACTCACTTCTCGGAAAGGAGAAAGATTGTTTTGTTACATAAAAGTCAGGATAGATTCATGAAAAATTATCAAATCCATGACAAAAATACAATACAAAAAAATCTGTTTCATCTTCCATTCAAGAAAAAAAAAATGTAAAAACTATTTGTGTCCAGGTTGAGAAATGTATCTTAGGTTACCTAAGGAAATCACAGCTACTACAAATTTGCGGCTCTTTAAAAATAACCACTAAATATTAAAGTAGCCCAAGAGCTATTTTTTTATTTCTTGCCTTAGATTTAGATATTTAGTGAAAGCCGCCCCTGAACGAAACAACGGCCGGTTGAGCTACAGTGGACACGTTATTTACCACCCATAAACCTTTTCTATTATAAACAACTTAACTTTGACACAATGGGATAATTTTATAATGGCCATATAACCTTATAGCTCTTGGGCTACTTTAGTTATTTATGTATTAAGGGCATAATCAGGGAGATTGTGGCACGAGGGAATGTTTAAAGCCCGACGAAGGAGGGCTTTTAATTTCCTGAGTGCCACAATCGACAATTATGCACGTGGTACATACAACGTTTTATTCTATTTTAGTTTATAAACTATTTTTAACGAAATATTGAGTATTTTCGGCAAGACTGTGTGAATTGTGCCGATGCGAATTTTAATACATAGCTGGCTATTATTTTGATGTTGTTATGGATACCACGTTGATTATTTGATAATTCGTTTTTCAAAATGTAAATTAAAGAAGCGGAAAACGTTTATTCAAACGAAAGTTTAGAAGAATTTGAAGTCGGTCAGGTAATGATTTGATAAAATATTGTTTTTCCAACTTAAGAAAAACGTTGAATATCGAAGCGTGTTTGAATAATTAATTGATTAGAGTAAATGAACAATCAATTGTTGCTTAGCAATTTTTGACAGATTTGTGCTAAAAAGGTCAATTTAAGCCCGCATTTGGGTGCTTATAAATAAGATTATGGTTCTAAAATAGAATAATACTCTATTTAATTAGAAAGTGCTCATATACAGTGAATGAATTTTCGGTTTGATGTGTGTTTTTCTATAGATATTCTCTTTTTACAATGATGATTTCCATACAATTGTACTTGTCTCTAGAAATGCAATTAATATTATTATTATTATCTGTGGTAATATGTTTGAATTAATAGTATAGCGGGTCATAATTGCCGCATAAAACGTGCACAACTAGGAAATGTGTGCCGTTTACAGCAATCGGTTCTCAGCGAATTACTTGCAGTAACTGACTTGACTTAGTTTCAATTATGATAAAATTATTCGTAAACTTATGAGTTTTTAATTACCTATTTGATTTTATGACACAACTTGATCCATTACGAATACAACTTTTTCGTTTAGTTTGGTGCTTCCAGTTTACGTAATTCTTATAATTAGTGGTTTATGGTTTTACATTGTTTTCCATATATCCTTTCTTATTTACTTAGTTTCTCTCCATGCTTTCGTTTCTACAATTATTTAATGATGTTCAAAGTTTTTCGACGTTTCATGACCCCAAGGGTACAAAAAATAGGACTGCGGTTTCCGTTTGTCTGTCTGGCTGTCGGCTGTCTGTCGCCTGTCTGTCGTCTGTCCGTATCCGTCTTCTGTCCGTGTCTATTTTCTGACAATCCCCACCAATAGTGTGAAGACTCCACCTCAAAACATTTGCATAGCAAATGTTATTTAAATTTTAGTAAATAACAAAAAAATGATCGAAAAAGCCCTATATAAAATGTGCAACATTATTATTAGTATTAGTTGTTTGTTTGTTTTTTACCAAGAATAAAATTTGTCAATGCGGTTCTTAAATAGGTTTTACAGACGTTACAATTTCATCCAATACTTTATTCCAATCTAATACGGATAACATAAAACGATGTTAGTATCTTTGACCTTCTTCTCCCAGATTCAAAATTTTAAAACAGTATTAAATCTCCTCTTTTCTTTTTATCTATGAGTGGAAGAAGTTTCATTATAATCAAACGATTCCTAACTAGGTCTTCTCGAACCGCACCTTTTTGTGTACCTTCGCTGTACATTCTCATGAGTTTATATATCGTGCACTTTGTATCAAAGTTTTGCAAAATAAAACATATTAGGCTTTGAAAAGCTTTTAATAATATATACATACGGCTGTTTGCTTTTTACTTCCCGAGCGTAAGCTAAGGAAGTAAATCGAGTCCGTCGCACAAACGGCCACTTTTATATTTTCTCGTTTCATAACCCCTAGAATACGAAAAAGTAATCTCCTGTTTCCGTCTGTCTGTCTGTCTGTCTGTCTATCTGTATGGTGTCTGTATCCATTTCTATTAGACACGTTATCTCCGAAACTGCATCTGTATGTATATTAGAAATATCATGTAGATGGTTAAATGCTAACCACAATTTTGGTAATCATCTTCAACGACAATTTGATGACGTCATTTCAAAGAATTCTATGTTTACTTGATTTAAGTATTATACAACAATATAGTCCTATAAGTGTGGTCTTCGCATTGAGTTTTTCCTTAATCGTGCAAAAATATAATGCACGGTATAATAACACATTACGATTAGCATAAGGCGTTCCGGTCGTGGTCTAGTGGGTACGAGTCAAGAATGTAGACCGGACGTCGTGCGTTCGCTTCCAAACTTGGCCTTTAGTTTTTTTCTTTTTTTTTCTCTTTTTCTCTCGCATTGTGTTGTCTATGTTTATGACGTCATAACAAATTTTTTATTGGTGAAATTACCCCACTTTCTCGAAAAGCTGAGAACACGCCTCTCTTTATTTAAAAATGTAAATCCTTTTCGGGGCCCCCAAATGTCATTTTTCAGAATGTGAAACCTTCTCGGTGGTTCCAACTGTCTTCTTTTTATGTGAAACCTTCTCAGGGGTCCCAATTGTCTTATTTTACAAAAGGTGAAACCTTCTCTGGGGCCCCAACTGTTTTTTTAAAAATGTAAAATCTTCTCGGGGGCGCCATATGTCTTTATTAAAAATGTAAAACCTTCTCGGGGGTCCCAAATGTATTTTTAAGGATGTAAAACCTTCTCGGAGGTCCCAATCGAAGTTTTTTAAAATGTCAAACCTTCTCCGGTATGCTAAATGTTTTTTTTTTAGAATTTGAAACCTCCTCGGGGGGGCCAACTGTCTTTTTTGAAAATGTAAAATCTTCTTAGGACCCCAAATATCTTTTTTTTTTAATGTGAAATCTTCTCGGGGTGCCATATGTTTTTATTAAAAATGTAAAATCTTCTCGGAGGCCCCGAATGTCTTTTTTTTAATATGAAACCTTCTCGGGGGCCCCAAGTGTCTTTTTTAAAAATGTGAAACCTTCTCAAGGCTCCCGACTGTATTATTTTAAAAATGTGAAACCTTCTCGGGGCCCTCAACTGTTTTTTCAAAAATGTGAACCCTTCTCGGGGGCGCCATATGTCTTTATTAAAAATGTAAAATCTTCTCGGGGACCCCAAATGTCTTTTTTTATTATGAAACCGTCTCGGGGCTCCCAAGTGTCTTTTTTAAAAATGTGAAACCTTCTCAGGGGTCCCGACTGTCTTATTTTAAAAATATGAAACCTTCTCGGGGCCCCCAACTGTGTTTTCAAAAATGTGAAACCTTCTCGGGGGCGCCATATGTCCTTATTAAAAATGTAAAATCTTCTCGGGGCCCCCAAATGTCTTTTTTTAAAAATGTGAAACCTTCTCAGGGGTCCCGACTGTCTTATTTTAAAAATGTAAAAGCTTCTCGGGCGTACCAAATGTATTTTTTGAAAATGTGAAACCTTCTCGGGAGGCCCAACTGTTTTTTTTTTAAATGTAAAATCTTCTCGGGAACCCCAAATATCTTTTTTCTAGTGTGAAACCTTTGGGTCCCAACTGTCTTTTTTAAAAATGTAAAACCTTCTCGGGGGCGTCAAACGTCATTTTTAACAATGTGAAATCTTCTCGAGGGTCCCAACTGTCTTATTTTAAGAATGTGAAACCTTCTCGGGGGCCCCAAATGCCTTTTTTTTTTAAGAATGTGAAACCTCGGAGTTTCCAATTGTCTTTTTAAAAAATGTAAAACTTTCTCGGGGGGCCCCAGCTGTCTTTTTTAAAAATGTAAAATCTTCTCGGGGACCTCAAATATCTTTTTTCTAGTGTGAAACCTTCGGGTCCCAACTGTCTTTTTTAAATATGTAAAACCTTCTCGGGGGCCCCAAATGTCTTTTTTAAAAATGTGAAACCTTCCCAGGGGTCCCGACTGTCTTATTTTAAAAATGTAAAACCTTCTCGGGCGTACCAAATGTATTTTTTGAAAATGTGGAACCTTCTCGGAGTTTCCAATTGTCTTTTTAAAAAATGTAAAACCTTCCCAGGGGGCCCACCTGTCTTTTTTAAAAATGTAAAATCTTCTCGGGGACCCCAAATATCTTTTTTCTAGTGTAAAACTTTCGGGTCCCAACTGTCTTTTTTAAAAATGTAAAACCTTCTCGGGGGCGCCAAACGTCATTTTTAACAATGTGAAATCTTCTCGAGGTTCCCAACTGTCTTATTTTAAGAATGTGAAACCTTCTCGGGGGCACCAAATGCCTTTTATTTTTAAGAATGTGAAACCTTCTCGGGGGTCCAAAATATCTTTTTTCTAGTGTGAAACCTTCGGGTCTCGACTGTCGTTTTTAAAAATGTAAAACCTCGGGGGTGCCAAACGTCTTTTTTAAAAATGTGAAATCTTTTCGGGTGTCCCAACTGTCTTATTTTAAGAATGTGAAACCTTCTCGGGGGTACCAACTGTCCTTTTTTAATGGAGGCGAAACCTTCTCAGGAGCCCCAGCGTCTTTTTTTAAGAATATTAGATCTTCTCGGGGCTCCTAACTGTCTTTTTCAAGAAGGTGCAACCTTATTTTTTCTATTAAACTATGACTAGTATCTTTTATATTGGTTTTACTCCATAGAGCAGTATTTGGTGGACTGCACTTCAGACGCGATGGAAGTTCTGTCGAAATAACTTTCGAAAAATTTTTTAACCTGCTTTAGTGTGTGATTAGCCCATAACAAATTTTTATGAATCACAATACCTAATTCATTGTGACCTCGTAAACTTTCTCCCTGAATTTGATAACTTGCTTCCGGGTTTGTCTTGAACATGTATCACTACGCGTTTCTTACGGTTAAGTGGAATTACCCATGTTTCACTCCGTCCATAAACTGTGTTGAGATCATTTTGTAAAACCTGTGCACTGAAAGTAGTGTTACATAATTTGATGTCATCTGTATACACTGCACAAGTTGAAACGTTAATAGATTCGGGTAGATCGCCCGTATACAGCAGAAACAGTTTAGGACCGTGAGGACCCCACTGAACATCATTAACGTCACTCAACCTTTGTCCAACTATGCCGGAAAATTTTCTCTTATTAAGAAATCATTCTATCCATGCAAGCAATGTTCCATTAATACCATATGATTTTATGGCACTTTGTCTAATGCCTTAGAAAAATCTTAATACAAAAGTATTGATGCTTTTGAACTTATGACCAGTCATTTTGGGCGAGACAACTGCCCGTAGTAAATTCACAGACGGAAACCAGAGACCTATTTTACCGTACCTACTATAGGGGTCATAAAACTTCGAGAAAACGTGAAAACAGCGAGTCGTCCGATGGACTCGATTCTTGGCCCACGCTCCGGAAGTAGAAATATAAGTTTGGGAATGAAATTTTATGGTTTGTTGGACAGTGACACTGATTTTTTATCATAGAATAATTATAGAGGAAAACTGGTTTTATTTTTCTAGATTCAGTTCTTTTTTTTTGTTTTATTTTTTGATAGTAATTTAATGTTTACGAGTGTGTGAGTGATGCATAATGAATGAAACAATTGTTAATGCAAATCGGAAGTGTTTCCACTTTGTTATTTAGTAGGAAAAAAAATGCAAATTAGCACTTTATTTCGTAACTTAATCATCACAGTTACATTCTTTTGCAATGGTTAACAGTAAAAATGTTAACAATAAAACTGTAGCAATGCGTAAACACTTTCACCCAAATGGCTGCATCCAAACAGGAACTAGTATGACAACATTACTGTTGACAATTTAATTATCATCAACCATTTTTTGTTTCAACCTTTATTTTAAGCTATATCTCTTTTTTACAGAGGCGAACGAAGATTCTACAATATTACCAGCTCTGCGGAATACAAAATAACATTTGATGAACTAATTACTCATGGGAGACAAACTGTGTACAATAAAGTACCTTTTAATGGAGTTTTTTGGTATCCAGGTGGAACCATGACACAGTCTCGTCTAGAACACAATTTGCGCTTCTTTTTCTATCAGTGGCTGCCAGCCGTTTTTGTTGACATTCTTTTAGTGATCCTGGGATATCCACCGGTACTGAAACGAGTCCAAAGGCGCATCCTTAAAGGCTACGATGTTTTTGAGTATTACACGACAAAACAGTGGGATTTCAATAACGATGTGTCGATGGAGGCGAGGAAATTATTAACACAGAGGGAAAGAGAACTTTACAAGGTATAATACAATAGTCGGACATATGTGCACAATTGTTGAAGTGCCATTTAAGTCCGAATCAGATGTGAAAATATACTTCACTTGCCTGTTCATATTTTAGGTGGACGGAGACGGCATACAATACGAACAGTATTTTTATGATACTGTTCACGCTGCTCGATTATACTTGTTAAATGAACCTGATGAAACTATACCAGCAGCTAAAAGACACATGACAAGGTAAGCAATTTATTAAACATGTAGTGTAATTTTAAAGTTTTATTCATTTCAGGATGTATTATGCTGACCTTTTTTTTAAATATCTGTTAAGGATAATTTTCATGTGTTTACTTTACAAATACGTATTGTTACCGGTAATTAGTAGTTTTTAGCACTCAGTGAAACATATTTGGCTATTCATTACTAATTATTGTAATTGTTTGTATATATAGTGTAGTGTTAGGGTGCATTTGTAAAATAAATTTTTGTACTTCCGACCCGCATCACTGGTTTTGGATACGTCTCCCACCACCAGAAACCAAAAATCTTCGTTACGCTATAATGTTAAAAAGAGTTCATCAAGATTATATTACATAAAACAAGGCACATGAAATAATCACAACAGGCACGTATCAAACACGATCAGAAATAAAATAAAATGGTCTGGGAATTCAGGCTGAATCTCAAAAATTACTAACTAATTACAAATATGATATGTTATTTCTGATGAGATGCTGATAAAAGTCGGGCAAAGAGGCCGAATCATGGCTGATTTAGATGTTTTGTTTACACCTTTGCCATGGAAACCACAACGTCGTAGCCGCCTGATGTGCGCCTTATACAACTGGACTGGGGACCGTTCCGACAGTGCTCGGGAGGATTGAGTTGCGATCGCGCGTTTTAATTTTCATTCTGCGCGAACACGTTTGATAAATATGTTTGGACAAACTTCTCGATAATTCAGACATTCGGAAACAACTACACAGCGCCTATATTAATACTATTCGGGCAAGGGTCGACAAAAATCGCCACATATTAGGCCGATTGATAATGTGCATAAAATTTTGTGGAGTGTTTGAACTTGCTTTATGTGGATATGACGAAAGTAGGAAATCGCAAAATCCAGGTATATTTCGAGGTCTGATTAATTTTATGACTGAATTGGACTCTGCTTTATCAAATCATTTGAAAGAAGCAAAACGAAAAATTTTAAACGAAGGCATAAAGGTATGTGGAGAAATTCTTTTTTAATAATAATATAATTAATATTAATATTAATAATAATAACAGATCCAATCCAATTACTGGACAATTATTAACTTAAATAATAGCAAAATAAAATAAAATAAACAATGTAAAATAAAAATGTAAATATTTAGCTCATATTCGTTCCCAAACTAAATTATTATCAAACCCACAATTAGAAGCTATCCTTATAAACTAAATAAACGAACACATAACAGTTTACTTGGAAGAAAAAAGATATCATACAGTTTATCAGCATTACTGCACATGTGAATTAACGGTGCCTTTCTTAGCAAATTCGTTCTAGAAATTGGTTGATGAAAAGTGGCCATGTAGCGAGACGCAACACGGCCACTTTTGACTCTTTCCAACAATTCAGGACAATCTATCTTACCACTTATCAATTTGGATATGAAACGAGCACTATGCTCTTCACGTCGATTCTTTAAACTAACAAATCCATGTTTCTGAAGGAGGTAATTGTAGTCTATATTTCTTTGAGGATAAAATCCATCAATCTTATACGAAAGATACTTCAAGAAGCGACGCTGTACCTTTTCAGCAGCAAGATTATGTATCACATAGTAGGGATACCAGACAACAGAAGCGTATTCCATCTTGCTTACCACATACGCAAAATACAGACTTTTTAACAGAAGAGGATCTTGAAAAGTTTTTGATACCCGAAATATAAATCCAAGCATTTTAGATGCTGATGTGAAAAAGAACGCCAAGATCCTTTACCTCATTCTTCTTGCAAAGAATCCGACCGTTGATGGTATAGTCTGATTTTACCACATTTACTTTCCTACTGAATGTCATTACGTAACACTTATCTGCATTTAATAACAACTCGGACTTGTTGCACCAATCTACTAATGTACCAAGGTTCCTTCGGAAGGTTTTAACATCATCATTGTTTGAAATGGGAGAGTATAACTTCAAATCGTCAGCGTATGCCAAAACTTTACAGTTAAGTGAAAGAAGCAAATCATCAATGAAAAGAACGAAAAGAAGAGGGCCGAGATTGGAGCCTTGAGGAACACAGGATGTACTTACAAAATTGAAAGAATGGTAACCATTATACGTCACGTAGTTAGACCTATTACTTAAGTAGGACTCCAAGAGTTTCAAGAAGCTAGGAGCAAATCCAAAAGAACTTAATTTATGTAGTAAGCTGGTGTGATTTATGGAGTCAAAAGCACTTGAAAAATCTGTATAGGTAACATCCACTTGTCCGTTGTTATCTAATTCTTCAGAGAGAAATTGTGTCAAAGTACACAAATTAGTAACTGTTGATCGACCAGAATCCATGTTGGAATGCAGATACATGACTTTGGACATTAACAAAGATAGTTTTGTACAACACTATTTCAGAAAGTTTAGCAAAGTTTGGTAGTATTGCAATCAGTCTTCAGTTTTATAGATTAGTAGAATCTCCTTTTTTGAATACAGGTGTGATTCTTGCTCTTTTCCATCTATCAGGAAATGTGGATGACATTATTGCTAAGTTAATTACAATTGATAGAGCTTTGCAAGAATATATCTGGCGTCACGTATTCAAAAACTTGGTATTTGGTCGTCACCAGCGGTCATTTTGTTTGAGAAGGTTGACATAATATCAATTAGTTGCTCTTCAGTCACCGACGGTATAGCAAATGAGAGCTTATTTGATAAAACATCGGATATTCCAATAACGATTTTTGGCCGAAAGACATCAGAAAATTTTTCCGCAAATGCGTTGACAATTTCTTGTGGACCTTCAAATTGTTTATCTTCATAAACTAATCTTCCAGGTATACGCGTCGTACCTTTTTGTAAGTGAACGTATTTCCAGAAGTCTTTAGTATTATTTTCCATAGATTCCTCAATTTGGTTTAAATACTCAGGATATGCTGTCTTTATCATTTGTTTGGAAGTAGATCTAAACCTTTTAAATTCATTATAAAAAGTCATATTAGATGTTTTTTTCCATTTTTTCCAATAGAAATTTTTGAGTTTCAAAACCAAAATGATCTGTTTGTTGTACCACGTAGGATAGGATGATTTCCAAGGTAGGAATTTAGGTACAGACGACTCGAGTATACTATACAACTTAGTATAAAAGTGATCAAGTGCAACATTGGCATCTTCAAAATTTGTAAGGAAGGATCAATCAGTATGTAGAAGGTCATTGTATAACTTATTGTAATTGGCTTTCCGAAAGTTATAACGTCGATTATTATCACATGGAAACCGTAGGAGTTTGGAAGAAATCAAGAATTCTGTTTCAATATGCAGAGCAGGATGATGAGGATCAGGTGGAACAAATGATTGTTGGTCAAGATTAACACTGATTTTGAAATCAGTATTGGAGAGAACCAAGTCAAGTAAACGATTGTTGAAGTTTAAGATATTGTTATACTGAGAAAGATTTACTGTTTGAGAAAAATCAAGAAAGCTGTTTAATTTACTGCAGGACCCATTACGTACTACATCGTTGGTACTGTATTGAGACAAGTTAAAATCTCCAATAATTATAACTGGTTTATCCAAGATCAAAGCGCCTAGTGCCTCAAGAAACACCTCCAGATCGATACTAGACACATCCGGTGGTATGTATACAACAATCATGAAAAAGCGAAACGAATGGACGCTACACATAATTATATCTATAAGGGGTACAAGCTCTCTTACTAAGGACACATCAACGGCATTGTCAGTTAGATGATCAGCCAGGGCTATTAAGACACCACCACCAGTTTTATGTCCAGTGGTATTGAGATTTCTGTCACAACGAACCACATTGTAATAGGGAGGAAATAATTCTGAGTTGTATACTGATGAAATGAGCCAAGTTTCTGCAATAATTACAATATCATAAAAACGATTCGACACACTTGTATAAAAAGATTCAATCTTTGACCGTAAGCCACGCACATTTTGGTAATATATGTTTAGAGCAAATGGTAATCTGCCGGGCGCCTTTAGTTTTCCAAGTGAACTATGTTTGGAATTCCATCTTTGTATTTTATTATAAGATTTTGTTCCCCATTTGACAAACGCTCATGCAATTCATTTCTGACGCTTTTATATAGTTCATTTTGCATCTCAGTACGGTCTCTAGATCTGAAGATATTTTTCCAAGGATCAGTCGTTTTCAGGGACTTAGATGCCCAAAGTACGGACACCACATCTTCTTCTGACGAAAGGGTAATCTTGATTGGATGACGCCGGTCTTCCTTAGTTGGATCATATTTCCCAAGTCTGCTGGGCTTAAGATCCCCCAGGTCACCAATTTTTAAAGCTGTTAGAACATCTGTTAGAACACAGTATCAGCCTCAGATTGTTCAATTTTATTTTTATTGATTAATTCAGAGGGCCCATAAATAATGATGTTGCATTTACGCTTACTCCTTTCTGACACCTCTTGGATAATTTTTCTGTTTGAAGCAGCGATGCAGAAGTTGCAGTAGAAGGAGGCACAGTAGATACAGATAATTTTAATACTTTAATTTCTTCTTGCAATGCAACAATAACTGCCTTCAAGCTGTTGATATCATTCCCAATCTTGGCACAGTTCTTACAGGACCATGATAGACCCGACTTTTGATGAATTTTGCGTGCCTCTGCATTGGTTAAATCAACGCATTCAATTTTGTAAGATTTTCCGCAGACACAGCAATTAACAATCTTACAAGAGTCAGCATTTCTGCCGCAGCAAGTACAGGAAGTGCTCATTTTTAGTGAATATTCAGGAATGAGGAAAAACAGGGACACACGCTTCACGCTGGTAGTGCCCTTTCCAGCAACTTGACAAAATGTATACAAACAAGATCAGGGGTAACGGGAAGGTGTTAGTTATAATTTATAATGAAGGAGACAATAGGAAAATAGTCAAACTAATCACAATTAGTTGTGGAAGAAAAAGAGCAAACTTACCGCTTAGTTTTTACAGCGGTGATAAGAATTTTATATCAGCTGATAGATAAACAACTTAACTTCAAAAACTACACACAAGTGAATATAAATTTCAATTAAAATCCAATTATTTGAAGGATCAACTGCAGAGCGGACACGAATCACTTTTAGTTCGAGAACGTTCTTTTTTACATTTATTGTATTTTTGTATTTATTTCTGTCACACAATTTCGTCTATTATTGGTAATAACAACCTGTTTTACATCTTCATATTTAACTCATCAATCAAATTGTGTCCCTCCATTTCAAAAGGTCACGAGCCGCCACTGGTATTAGTTTAAATACAAACATTTGGGAG